AGGGCCTGTGGTGGGAAAGCAAGTCGACAGACGTCAAAAAACCACAGTACAGTGAAGAGCGTAAGTACCTTAAAAATTGGTGCTACACACTGCATGAAGACAAAAAGAGATAGCAAGATTTGTGATTAGGGGTTCATGTAATAAGAAGCTAAAGAATAATGTTGATGGCGATGAAAATACCCAGTTTCTTTTATTAGCTGATGATGAATGATGCTGATATGATTCATAATTCCTTCAACAGCATGTCTCATTATCATGTAGATACAAAATTAATAACCCACCCATGACGTCGGCAATAGCAAGGGTGCGAACTTGGCTACATTATCCCATCCTAGAACCCTAAGAAAATTATGTACCTGTAGAAAGGTTCTTCTGTTTACTCCAGCTCTAGTTACATATAGAAAAAGCTGTTTGTGGGATTCATTGCCCTCATCAAGCTCTGGTTGAACGTGGCTGAAGATATCAATAATGTACCAGGCATCTTCGGACTCAGAATCTATACATGTTGTTTGTTCAGTCAGCGAGGCATCGTCTGACATGACCTCAGCTAAAGCTAGGCAAAAGAGGGAAAAATATGTTATTCCCTTAAACAAAACTGCCAATTAATTCTCCCTTGGCATGTATCTTGGCGAAAGCCGCCCGTGGTGAAAAGATTAACTAAACAACGAAGGCTGCCATGAAAGGTACAAACATGTAAATTTATGATATCTTTCCTTGTTATTGATACGTATTAGCACTGAGGTTTCTTTATGTACTCGTTAGTCACCCCAACCATGCAAAGTTGAGGGGGCTCGAGGTATAATCCTAAGCAGACTAAAATTCATTTCCCTTGTAATGAACACCGGTTACACAAAGGCTCTTGCTTACCATATAATAAAAAGACCAATGCATGGCTTTAGCTTTGCCGTCCAAGGACGCCATCTTCTCCGTGGCACGGTCATTAGCACAGCCAGCATGATCATATGATTTTATCGTGTAATTACTGACACTCCCAGATGAAACTGCAATACAGAACAATTGTAACTTATAGTTAGTCTACCTCCATTAATCAAGAGGTCTTGGAAAATGTTGATCGCTAGCCGTTGTCGATAGTGATTTCAGCACGGTAAATATGCCAGCAATATGTAAATATGGCGGTTAGAAGGTGGGAAAGACTTAAAGAACGACGTTCAATCGCATACCCAGGCCATTTTGGATGTTCAAAATGGCGACCTCATATTGATAGCCTCAGAGTACTCCCTCTATGAATAAATATGTACTGTATTAAAATTACATTGATATGTCAGAAGTCACTTTGACTCCTCCTTCAAGTTTTATTTGACGGGCACTTTACCCAGTTAAATGAATTAGCTAGGAGTGTGACACAGCCGGAAATAGTGATGCTTCCAGTGCTGTCAGTGTCTTCGTTAGAGTGAGTCAACTTATCTCAGTAAATCATCTTGATATTACTCCCTCAGGAAGGTTACAAAACAATTAGATTATCATTTTGATTTTGGCATATCAGTCCCTACAAAATGGTATTCTAATATGTAATTTGCGAACTAAAAACATTTTAAAAGGAATTTTTAATTTTGCAAGTTCCTTTTTGAACAAATCGATGTAAAACAGTCACAAAAACGGTGGTGCTGCGAGAGCCAGCAGCTTCCTTTCTTTAACAAGCAATTTACTCAAGCAGCAAGGGTAGACTCGAAGAACAAACAATCTAATTAACTGAATGCTTGGAGTGACTCTAAAGGTTACCTACTACGGGAGAAGAGAGAGCGTATGTTTGAACATTCTTCGATCCTATCATCTGTTTGATCCTGGGTTCGTTGACTTGCGCTTAAGAGTACTGTTTCGAGAATTGCTCTCTAGTTTGAGGCTTAGACCTCCTAATGTATAGAGGCATGCGAGTCGTATTGCTTTTATAACGTCTGGCCGATCGGGACAGTGGAAAACACTATAGTTCATCCGCTGTTACCTAAATGGTTGCCGGGAAGGATGGTCTGATTCAATGAATATTAAATGGTTTTAACCGGAAAATGTAATTATTAAATGCTGGTTATGAAATAAATGAATTGCTATAGACTCCTGCTTCTTCCTTGAAATAAGCCTCCCTTTTGCATAAAAAAAAATTATGTGCCTGACACAAAGCAGCTTCCTTGTACATATATTGCTACAAGAATCACGGTGTTTATGTCGATAGACGTGAAATATCGTATTTAAGATTGTTGTGAATTTTATTCATAATTAAGGAAGACAGCTATGCGTTCAACTTTTAATTTTAAAAGAACATTAGAGAAAAATAAATAGAAATAACATCAATTCGTCAGCTGGTAAAAATCCCAACCAAGTATGAAACCGAAAGCTTAAACTTCCCCTTAGCGTAATCTGCATACATAATCGAACAGGGGATTCCCCTAGTGCTCAGCATGTTTACGTTTACAACCTTGCGTTTGTGGAAACAATTCATTTAAATGCTTCCTTTAAATGAGAGCACGCTCTTCTTCGATGATTAAATTCATTGTTCTATTTCATCTGCTACTGGATTTAAAACGCGTTTTTTGGTCTGATGAAAGCCTAATAAAAGCTTTCGTGACTGTGAATTTGATCGCCTGACGCTAAAACGATTTTGTAATTCATGAAAGCGAACTTTCAGCACGCAACCGCTATAATTATAATTACTTATATATATATATATATAGATCACCGTTTGCGGCTTTAAAATATACCGAATATACCATCTGTTGCTTTCTATACTTACAGATAGATAGCGCCTTCTATATTTACTTCCCATAAATATTGACAAGTGCTGCATATGACAAATATTATGGCCTGGAAATATCTATTTTGCTAGTAGAAAATTAGTCTGCTCGAACACCCTGTCTACCCTTGACTATAATAAGGTTACTTACGTATTGTGTAGAATGTCTTCCTTTCAAATTTACCAGCGCTTTGCTTATCGATTGTGTCTTGGCGTGAAGACGACTGGACTCATCAACTTTTTGATGATACAAGTTCGCTTAGCTATTCGAGTTTGTCGAATAGCCGGGGAATCTAAACAAACTTCACCGAGGATATATAAATGATACTTTCACAGAAAATGACGAAGCCATATACCGGGGATTTCCCTAATGAAGTTGATATTTGGTTCATTCTATTCTGTTTTATATTATTAGAATGTTATTTATTTTTCGCTTATGGCAGCGTTTCCATTGTCGAAGGGAAAAGTACTCGTTGCGGACTACTTTGGGAATTATTTTAATTAATCATTCGTTTATTTTCCGTTTGATTTAGGTACGTGCCTATGACATAATCAGCTTGGAGAAACACAAGTCATCGTAACCAAATAGATTTTAGTTGTGTAATACCATTTGCTTTGATTTTTCTTTAAAAATTTACCGTGGTTGCAGTAATCCGTTGTCAATATATCTGGGGTGAGTAAATTCACCAAGACGTTTTGCAGTTTTGCATCCTCCAAATTGAATGTACAATTAATCTATCGTACATGATACGTCTTTCGCCCTTCCTTCAAACCAAGACGAAAAATTTTGATTTGCAAGGTTTCACACTTCCAAAACTGGGAAAAAACCCTTTCTTTAGAAACTTTGTTTGTGTCACGGCTTCCCCTAAGACACAATAAGTTTGTTAACAATGCAATATGGCCTTCCAAGTTACGGAAAGTGTTTGAACCGGAAGTATAGGTAGCGAATAAGAATGCATGCAGAACATAAAACTGGCAATACATGAGCAGAAGCTGCAACAGAATTCTACACAATACGGATAAACATTCTCGCTACAAGGTGCTGTCACTCCACGAAGTTAAAAAACGAACTACATGGGTAAGTGTTAAGTTGAAATAAAATATCTGCAGTGAAAGAATTTAACAATTAATGAATGAGGCTGAGTATCTTGTGCAGAATTATGGAGATCGAGGAGGGTGTTATACGTCGAGGCTGTATGCCGAGGCGGATAACACCCTCCGAGATCTCCATAATTCTTCACATGATGCTCAGCCTCATTCAAAAATTGTTTTGTTATTAATTCAAAATAATTCCTTGTTTAAAACATAGCTAAAACATGCTTACCTTCATCGATGTTACGTACATCTTCGGCAGTGCACGTTTAGGGTTGTTCAGCTCCGCAAATATTCTCCAAATAGCAAGTCGTCCTTCGAGTTGTCTTATTGCTGTTCTTCCCATGTTTTAGCTATCATTTCGCCTAGTACTTAATCTTGGGACGAGTGAAATTTCCGCCGTTTTTGTTTTCACAACCAAAACAACTCAACCTCGTCCACAGGTCTTCCCGGTTAACGGTGCATTAACCTGCAAGGAATCTGCACTTTTGACGTCATCGGTTGATTAATTAATCGCAAAGTTGTTCCAAATTTGGTCATCTGTAGCTGATTATGGTGAATTATGCGTGTGCCTTTAACCAGTCAGAATTGGGCAAATATTTTGAATGAATAATAATCGAGGTTTATGCTCGAAGACTGAGGCATAAGGTTTACAGATGACTCAAGGAAAGGGTTTTTACAGAGTAATTAATCTCAGCGCGTTTGTGTGCGTTTCTGTTTTTTATATTTCATTTTGTCTACCTAATATATAAATTGTACTTTTTTATCTTTTTCCGGACTGGTACGCAGTAACAACAAAGGGGCAAAAATTTAAATGTAGGAAATAAATACATAAATAGATTTATGAGGTCATGATTTATAAGTCCCGTTATGAGGTCATGTGAAAGAGAAAGCGTTTCTCGGGCGAGCTCAAAGACTTATTTTAAGTAAACAACCTCTTCAATTCTGAGCTATTAATTGGCAATTAATAAATAGGGCTGAATAGGATATGAAGAACTAAGCAGATGTCATTTCCTCGTTAAACACAAAATTCTTCCAAATTTGGTCAATATTAACAGGTTATGGTGAATTATGCGTGTGCTTTTGGCCAATCAGAATCGGGGCAATATTTTGAATCAATAACAATTTGTTATATATATGTTGTTTTAAATAGGACTGGAGAAAGATGAAGATTATCAAACAGACTGTCCAGATCAGCAGCTGCTATCAAATCCTGAGTGGTACCTCACCATCTCAACCTTTTCTGATTGAACACTGCTGTTTAATGACACCCGGAAATGAGTGGGATATGGAGGTCAAATGTCGCCCCATATCGCATGGAGCCCAATGTGTGTCCAATCAGAGAAACAACTGGAGAAGCCTGATGGTGGTTTACCCCGAAGCTAAAGTCCAGCTAAAACACAATGACATTGAAGTCACTCTGCCATCCCTGCAGGAGGACGTCGAGATCGCTGCGTTCGGAAGACCAGGAAAAGATGACAAGAAAAGAATGCAAATGGCGATCTTTGCTAAACGACCAAAACAAGGAAGAGACTGGAAGATTTGGGTTTATCTTGTAGATGATACAAGTCCAGCCTTTGAGGTACAGGGTACTAATATGATTGTTTATTTTGTTTTGTTTGTTTGTTTGTTTAAAATGTTACCACCATAGTTTCTTTACCATGGTTTTATTTCATTTTAATTTTATAATCATTTTTTTGTCACGACTTTATCACCTTACCATTGATCAACCCCCTACCTCCCCCTCCCCTCCTGCCCCGCTCTAGATATTAGCCTCTCTTGAGGACGGCGACGGCGCTAGAGAGCTTTATTACCACCAACCCTTGAAATGCAAAACAATAAAGCCAAAAGCACAATTTATTAACACTGACACTGTTACGAAAACTGATTTCTACATGTTATTTCTCTTTCTTGTGTAACCAGAAAATGTTTCAGGATGAAGACGAAAAAGGAAACAAACTACTCACACCACTTGCTGGAATATTTGTGTCTAAAAGCGATGAAGACATCAAAATTGAACTCAGTAAACTGGAGCCTGGATGGAAAATCAGAGGAAGCAATGTAAAGGTGTGAATAGGGAACTTGGTTGTTAACAGTTTGGCCTCCTTAATGATATAATATTGATTAAAATCCACGCGACGTTTTATACGCGACAGGTTTGGATTAGTTTAGGGCTGTCAGTCTCTAGAGCGAGAGAACTCGGGCCCGATTCTCAAGACAATACCACTACTTAGGGTTTCTTTGTTGTTGCTGTTGTTGTTTGTTTTTCGAAAGAGGATGCTGCCCTTTCCAAGGCTATACTTTCGTGTAGTTTTGATTTCCACTTACAAAAAGCAAAAAGCCAGTACCTTAAGTTGTATGTAGCTTTTTGATGGCATATAGATCAACACTTAACCAAAGCGAGAATTTCATCAGTGAAAAGAATCCCTACCTCTCTACCGTCTTAACTTCCACAACCTCTACTAGGCGGTGGAGGTCTGGGTTCTAAAGTAATAAGAACTGGGCTTGGCTCAGACCACACCCTAATCAACTTGCTGCTTATATTTAAGTAATTAATCAATAAATTGATCACACTAAGTCAATCTTTGTTTTTATGTTTTCGTTTTTGCTGTTTTTGTTTCGTTTTTAATGATTTGCTTTTCAATTTTCTTTTAGACAATAAAATCAACTCATGCATGGAATTCGTCAGGAAACTCCGTAGATTTTCCACGTTGCTATTTCGAAATAAGTCACGTGAAAAGTGCCAAGCATTCATACTTCTGTGGAATAGAAGCTTCTCACGAAGGAGACAGTGCACAAGCAGAAGTTGTGGCGTATTTTGAACGAGTGAGTGTTGACGGAATAAATTACAGTTGTATTTAACAATTATTCGCCGAAGGCGAAGTTAATATTGTTGAATAATCCCCGAGACGAAGTCGACGGGATTATTCAACAATATTAACTGAGCCTGAGGTGAATAATTGTTTTAGTATATTCACACGAAGTGATCTCAACAGAATCAGAAAGGAAACCATTAAAAATCCTATGACATAATCAGCTTGGAGAAACACAAGTCATCGTAACCAAATAGATTTTAGTTGTGTAATACCATTTGCTTTGATTTTTCTTTAAAAATTTACCGTGGTTGCAGTAATCCGTTGTCAATATATCTGGGGTGAGTAAATTCACCAAGACGTTTTGCAGTTTTGCATCCTCCAAATTGAATGTACAATTAATCTATCGTACATGATACGTCTTTCGCCCTTCCTTCAAACCAAGACGAAAAATTTTGATTTGCAAGGTTTCACACTTCCAAAACTGGGAAAAAACCCTTTCTTTAGAAACTTTGTTTGTGTCACGGCTTCCCCTAAGACACAATAAGTTTGTTAACAATGCAATATGGCCTTCCAAGTTACGGAAAGTGTTTGAACCGGAAGTATAGGTAGCGAATAAGAATGCATGCAGAACATAAAACTGGCAATACATGAGCAGAAGCTGCAACAGAATTCTACACAATACGGATAAACATTCTCGCTACAAGGTGCTGTCACTCCACGAAGTTAAAAAACGAACTACATGGGTAAGTGTTAAGTTGAAATAAAATATCTGCAGTGAAAGAATTTAACAATTAATGAATGAGGCTGAGTATCTTGTGCAGAATTATGGAGATCGAGGAGGGTGTTATACGTCGAGGCTGTATGCCGAGGCGGATAACACCCTCCGAGATCTCCATAATTCTTCACATGATGCTCAGCCTCATTCAAAAATTGTTTTGTTATTAATTCAAAATAATTCCTTGTTTAAAACATAGCTAAAACATGCTTACCTTCATCGATGTTACGTACATCTTCGGCAGTGCACGTTTAGGGTTGTTCAGCTCCGCAAATATTCTCCAAATAGCAAGTCGTCCTTCGAGTTGTCTTATTGCTGTTCTTCCCATGTTTTAGCTATCATTTCGCCTAGTACTTAATCTTGGGACGAGTGAAATTTCCGCCGTTTTTGTTTTCACAACCAAAACAACTCAACCTCGTCCACAGGTCTTCCCGGTTAACGGTGCATTAACCTGCAAGGAATCTGCACTTTTGACGTCATCGGTTGATTAATTAATCGCAAAGTTGTTCCAAATTTGGTCATCTGTAGCTGATTATGGTGAATTATGCGTGTGCCTTTAACCAGTCAGAATTGGGCAAATATTTTGAATGAATAATAATCGAGGTTTATGCTCGAAGACTGAGGCATAAGGTTTACAGATGACTCAAGGAAAGGGTTTTTACAGAGTAATTAATCTCAGCGCGTTTGTGTGCGTTTCTGTTTTTTATATTTCATTTTGTCTACCTAATATATAAATTGTACTTTTTTATCTTTTTCCGGACTGGTACGCAGTAACAACAAAGGGGCAAAAATTTAAATGTAGGAAATAAATACATAAATAGATTTATGAGGTCATGATTTATAAGTCCCGTTATGAGGTCATGTGAAAGAGAAAGCGTTTCTCGGGCGAGCTCAAAGACTTATTTTAAGTAAACAACCTCTTCAATTCTGAGCTATTAATTGGCAATTAATAAATAGGGCTGAATAGGATATGAAGAACTAAGCAGATGTCATTTCCTCGTTAAACACAAAATTCTTCCAAATTTGGTCAATATTAACAGGTTATGGTGAATTATGCGTGTGCTTTTGGCCAATCAGAATCGGGGCAATATTTTGAATCAATAACAATTTGTTATATATATGTTGTTTTAAATAGGACTGGAGAAAGATGAAGATTATCAAACAGACTGTCCAGATCAGCAGCTGCTATCAAATCCTGAGTGGTACCTCACCATCTCAACCTTTTCTGATTGAACACTGCTGTTTAATGACACCCGGAAATGAGTGGGATATGGAGGTCAAATGTCGCCCCATATCGCATGGAGCCCAATGTGTGTCCAATCAGAGAAACAACTGGAGAAGCCTGATGGTGGTTTACCCCGAAGCTAAAGTCCAGCTAAAACACAATGACATTGAAGTCACTCTGCCATCCCTGCAGGAGGACGTCGAGATCGCTGCGTTCGGAAGACCAGGAAAAGATGACAAGAAAAGAATGCAAATGGCGATCTTTGCTAAACGACCAAAACAAGGAAGAGACTGGAAGATTTGGGTTTATCTTGTAGATGATACAAGTCCAGCCTTTGAGGTACAGGGTACTAATATGATTGTTTATTTTGTTTTGTTTGTTTGTTTGTTTAAAATGTTACCACCATAGTTTCTTTACCATGGTTTTATTTCATTTTAATTTTATAATCATTTTTTTGTCACGACTTTATCACCTTACCATTGATCAACCCCCTACCTCCCCCTCCCCTCCTGCCCCGCTCTAGATATTAGCCTCTCTTGAGGACGGCGACGGCGCTAGAGAGCTTTATTACCACCAACCCTTGAAATGCAAAACAATAAAGCCAAAAGCACAATTTATTAACACTGACACTGTTACGAAAACTGATTTCTACATGTTATTTCTCTTTCTTGTGTAACCAGAAAATGTTTCAGGATGAAGACGAAAAAGGAAACAAACTACTCACACCACTTGCTGGAATATTTGTGTCTAAAAGCGATGAAGACATCAAAATTGAACTCAGTAAACTGGAGCCNCACAGAGTCTAACACCAGGTTTCCATTACTTGAAGTTTTCTTTCTGCTTTGTGCACTTTTTGCTTCGGACTTCAACACCACACATATTACTGGTAAGCTTGCTTTATAAATTTCAGTAAACAAACGATGCCATAAGCGTGTACATTGGCTATTTCGGAGTTGCCTTAGGAACTGGGGGGAGTTTCAAATTCAAACTAATCGCTAAACTGACACCACCATATAAAAGGTCACGTTAAGATTGGTTTTTTGAACAAGTTTGGTGCTCTAAGGTCAAACAGGGATCAAGTTATGACTCTTGAAACATGGTTAAAGATCGATTCTGTGATATCCCTAAAAACGGGCAAACACAGTGATTTTCGAATTAGTTCCTTCCAAGTAGTAGATGCATGACAAATTTTACAGTTTAAAAGAAAAGATGAAAAATTTTAAAGAGTTTATATGGTTTTGGGGAATCTTTAACCATATTTCAAGTGCCATAACGTGATTCCTGTTCAATTTTAGAGCACCAAACATGGTCAAATAACCAATCTCAACATGGCCATTTATGTGGTGGTGTCGGTTTATCGAATAGTTTAAATTTGAAACTCGCCCCAGTTCCCCTCCGCAACTCCGAAATGGCTAATGGGAATCCCATTAAAGGGCCAAGTAGTAAAGGATACCATTGTATAAATCAAATGTGGGAACGATACGTTTGCTGACATTGTTTGCAGGTTTTTGGAAAGATTATGACTGTAGTGTAACAAAACCTTTCAAAAACTTGAAAATCGTTTACATGATTAAAATAGAAAAGAATCAAATCTATCTAACTTCAAATACGTTTCCTTTCAATTCACTTACAGGCAAGCCCTATAATGTCACAATTTTTGTTTTCAATTTCAACAGGATCAAATTCAACTTATCAGCAATTTACGACAAAGAAGGATTTTGAAGATTTTACCAATATCAAGCCGCCTGACAACTTCCCTTCCATTGGAATGCCTTATTCCGGGGAGCTGGTAAAGCGCAGGCAAGCAGGATCCGCCAGCTGTGGTTCAACTGTCCCCCAAGACCCCGCTCACTGTGCAACTGCAAGAAAGCCGAACGCCTCGGAACGAGGCTTTGATCTTTCTGTATTAGAGCAAAGAGTGAAATCTACCGTGGTTGCAGTAGTCCGTTGTCAAAATATCTGGGGTGAGTAAATTCACCAAGACGCGTTGCAGTTTTGTATACAGGTCAAATTGAAAATACAATTAATGTATCGTGCATGAAAGTCGTTTCTCGTCCTTCCCTCAATCCAAGACAAAAGATTGTGATTTGCAAAGTTTTACCCTTTCGAAACTGGGAAAAAGCCCTTTCTCTAGAAACTTCATCTGTGTCACGACTTCCCCTAAAACACAGTTACGCTGTTAATAATTACAAGTCCCTCAAGAATCAGAAGTGTTTTAATCAGAAGTAGTTATTCAATAATGTTATATATAAGAGTGCAAGCAAAGCATGAAACAGCCAATATAAAAGCAGAATCATTTACAAAACTCTAACGGTACTAATAAACATTGCTGCTACAAGATGATGTCACTCCACGGAGTTACAAAAAAAACGAACTAAATGCGTAGCTATGAATTTGAAATAAAATATTTGCAAGTATTCCATGTTAATGCTGAAAGAACTACGTTTTAAGACTGATCAGGCAAAACGTTTACAGAGGCTGAAGAAAAGACAGACGAAAGACATTAATCTAACGGCTTTTGTGAGCATTTTGATTTATCTTTCATTTTATCTACATCATTTTTTTAAAATTATATTATCTTTTATCTCTGTGTGATTATTCGCATATTCGCTTAAGCGAAAAAATTAAAATAAATACATCAATCTATTTTCTTTTTTTTTCTTTCGAGAAGAGTAGGGCGTTATAAGTTCATGAAAGAGAGAAAACCTTCCTCAGGCGATAGTAAATAAATATTGGAATATTTTTTTAATAATTCCTCTTGCTCAATTGAGTATTTTCTTTAAAACAACTTCTTCAATTCTGAGCTATTTGTCATTATCTGTTGTTTTAAGCAGGACTAGAAAAAGATGAAGATTATAAAACAAAGGTCCAGATAAGCGGCTGCTATAAAATCCTCAGTGGTACCTCACCATCTCAACCTTTTCTGATTGAACACTGCTGTTTGATGACACCCAGAAATAAGTGGGATATGGAGGTCAAATGTAGCCCCATGTCGCATGGGGCCCAAGATGCTTTTAATCAGAGATACAACTGGGGAAGCCTAATGGTGGTCTACCCTGAAGCTAAAGTGCAATTAAAACACAATGATATTGAAGTCACTCTACCATCGCTGCAGGTGGACGTTGAGATCGCTGCGTTCGGAAGACCAGGAAAAGATGACAAGAAAAGAATGCAAATGGCGATCTTTGCTAAACGACCAAAACAAGGAAGAGACTGGAAGATTTGGGTTTATCTTGTAGATGATACAAACCCAGCTTGTGAGGTATAGGGTGCTATTATGATTGCTTATTTTTTTTTATTGTTTGTTTTTTGCTTGTTTAAAAAGTTACCATCATCATTTCTTTACCCTATGATCATGATTTTATTGCCTTAGCGAGCCAGCCAGCCATTGATCAACCTCCCGCCCAACCCCCTCCCTCCCCGCTCTAAACATAACCGTCTCTTNAAGCTAAAGTGCAATTAAAACACAATGATATTGAAGTCACTCTACCATCGCTGCAGGTGGACGTTGAGATCGCTGCGTTCGGAAGACCAGGAAAAGATGACAAGAAAAGAATGCAAATGGCGATCTTTGCTAAACGACCAAAACAAGGAAGAGACTGGAAGATTTGGGTTTATCTTGTAGATGATACAAACCCAGCTTGTGAGGTATAGGGTGCTATTATGATTGCTTATTTTTTTTTATTGTTTGTTTTTTGCTTGTTTAAAAAGTTACCATCATCATTTCTTTACCCTATGATCATGATTTTATTGCCTTAGCGAGCCAGCCAGCCATTGATCAACCTCCCGCCCAACCCCCTCCCTCCCCGCTCTAAACATAACCGTCTCTTAAAGACGGTGAAAGCACTAGAGAGCTTTATTACAACCAACCCTTTTAATGCAAAATGATAATGCCAAGAGCACAATTTATTAATTTAAGTTGTTAACATACATTGATAGGAAAACTGATTTCTACATGTTATTTAAACAGAAAATGTTTCAGGATGAAGACGAAAGAGGAAACAGACTACTGACACCACTTGCTGGGATATTTGTGTCTAAAAGCAATAAAGACATCAAAATTGAACTCAGTAAACTGGAGCCTGGATGGAAAATCAAAGGAAGCAATGTAAAGGTACGAATAGTGAATTTAGTTGTTAACAGCCTGCCCCCTTTAAAGATATAGTAATGATCAAAATACACGCGGCGTTTCTATCCGCGGTAGGTTTGGCCATGGATTAGTTGGTAGGACTGTTAGAGTCTCTAGAGCGAGAGAACTAGAGCCTAATTCGCAAGACAATACCACTACTTAGGGTTTCTTTGTTGTTGCTGGTTTTGTTTGTTTTTCGAAAGAGGATACTGCCCTTTCCAAGTCGAGGCTCTCGTGTAGTGTGGATGTCCACATACAAAAAAGCGAAAAACCCAGTGTTCCAAGTTACATATAGCTGTTTGTTGAGATATAGATCAATTCAACCAAAGCGAGAATTTCATCAGTGAAAAGAATCGCTACCTCTCTACCGTCTAAACTTCCACAAGCCTCTACTACACTATACAGGTCTGGGATCTAAAGTAATAAAAACTGGGCTTGGCTCTGACCACTACCTATTCATCATGTTGCTTATATTTAAGTAAACAATAAATAAAGTAATCAAGCTCAGTTAATTTTCTGTTTCTGTTTTTGTTTTTGCTTTTGTTTGTTTTTGTTTTGTTTTTGCTTTTAATGATTTGCAATCCAATTCTCTTTTTAGACTATCAAATCAACACATGCGTGGAATTTGTCAGGAAACTCCGTAGATTTCCCACGCTGCTATTTCGAAATAAGTCACGTGAATAGTACCAAGAATTCATTCTTGTGTGAAATAGAAGCTTCTCACGAAGGAGACAGCGGACACGCAGAAGTTGTGGCTTATTTTGATCGAGTGAGTATTAACAGAAAAAAATACCGTATGGGTTGTGTTATATTATTTAGTAATACATTATTAATCTTTCTTCTGTTGCTCTTCGCAGAAGAAAAATATTAATTTAAGATCATATTTTAGTCTCCTTAATTGCTGGATTTTTTCATATTTATTTTGTAGGAAAGTGGTCAGAAAATGATCCAGCCCTCTAACAATTCTCGCAAACTGAGTAATACGTGGAACTTTGTTTCAAAAGGTAAGCTTCAATTAGACTGTACAAAAAACAAAAACAAATAAATAACACGTATGGTCACTTAATTGAAGTACGATGCAACTCAGAGACCAGTAACAAAACATAGGTCTCTGCAAAATAAATAGCTCGTTTAACCAGTGTATAATGAATTTTCATATTGTATTTCTAGGCTTTATGATTTTCCTACTTTTTTCAATATTACCTCTCAATTTTTCTTTATTTCTTTCTTTATTTTTTTCCCTCTCAGAGACTAACACCAGGTTTCCATTGCATGAAGTTTTCTCTCTGCTTAATGCACTTTTTGCTGCGGACTTTAACATCCCACATGTTTCAGGTAAGGTTGCTTCATAAATTTCAGTAAATGAACGACGCCCTAAACGTGAACATAGGAATCCCATTAAAGGGCCAAGTAGTAAAGGATACCATTGTATAAATCAAATGTGTGAACGATACGTTTGCTGACATTGTTTGCATGTTTTTGGAAAGATTATGACAGTACTGTGAGTAAACCGTTCAAAAACTTAAAAATCGTTGACATGCGTAAAATAAATAAGTATCAAATCTATATAAATGCAAAGACGCTTTCTTTCAATTCCCGGCTTACAGGCTAGCACTATAGTCTCACAAATTTTGTTTTAAATTTTAACAGGATCAAATTCAACTTATCAGCAATTTACAACAGAGAAGGATTTTGAAGATTTTACCAATATCGAGCCGCCTGACAACTTCCCTGCCATCGAAATGCCTTGTTCCGGGGCGCTGGTAAAGCGCGGGCAAGCAGGGTCCGCCAGATGCGGTTCAACTGTCCCCCAAGACCCCTCTCACTGTGCAACTGCAAGAAAGCCGAACGCCTTGGAACGAGGCTTTGATCTTTCTAAATTAGAGCAAAGAGTGAAATCTACCGTGGTTGCAGTAGTCCGTTGTCAAAATATCTGGGGTGAGTAAATTCACCAAGACGTGTTGCAGTTTTGTATCCAGGTCAAATTGAAAATACAATTAATGTATCGTGCATGAAAGTCGTCTCTCCTTCTTCCCTCAAACCAAGACAAAAGATTGTGATTTGCAAGGTTTTACCATTTCGAAACTGGGAAAAAGCCCTTTCTCTAGAAACTTCATCTGTGTCACGACTTCCCCTAAAGCACAGTAACGTTGTTAATAATTAATCAGAAGTGGTTATGCAATAATCTTATATATAAGAGCGCGAGCAAAGCATGGAACAGCCAATATAAAAGCAGAATCATTTACAAAACTCTAACGGAACTAATAAACATTGCCGCTACAAGGTGATGTCACTCCACGGAGTTACAAAAAAAACGAACTAAATGCGTAGCTACGAATTTGAAATAATTTTCAGAACGAGGCTTTGATCTTTCTGTATTAGAGCAAAGAGTAAAATCTACCGTGGTTGCAGTAGTCCGTTGTCAAAATATCTGGTCTTAGTAAATTCACCAAGACGTGTTGCAGTATTGTATCCTGGTCAAATTGAAAATGAAAGTAATCTATCCTGTATGAAACGTCTCTCGCCCTTCCCTGAAATCAATACAAAAGATTGTGATTTGCAAGGTTTCACCATTTCGAAACTGGGAAAAAAAAAACCCTTTCTGTAGAAACTTTGTCTGTGTCAGGGCTTCCCCTGAAACACAATAACTTCAAAGTCCCTCAAAATACAGAAGTGCTTTAATCAGAAGTAGTTATGTAATAACCTTGTATAGGTAGCCCATAAGAGCGCAAGCAAAGCCTAAAACAGCCAAAATAAAAGCAGAATCATCTACAAAATTATATGCAGTACTAATTGCCGCTACAAGGTGATGTCACTCCACGGAATTACAAAGAAAAAAAAAAGAACAAAATGAGTAAGTATGAATCTGAAATAAAATCAGACCTACAAGTATTTCCATGTTAATGCTGAAAGAATTACGTTCCAAGTCTGATCAGCTGGCAAAAAGTTTACAAAGGAGTCAAGATCTAACGACCTTTGTGAGCATTTATTTTATATTTCATTTTATCTACATTTTTTTTTTTTTTTTTTTTTTTTTTTAATATTTTACCTCTTTGTTATTATACGTATATTATATTATTCTTTCGTTATTTTTTTGGGTTTTGTATTTTGTGACAACAGGCTAAGACGCCAAACTTTAAGCTTAAAAAAAAAAAATAAATTCGTAAATCGATTTTTTTTTCTTTTAAAAAGAATAGCGCGTTATAAGGTCAACCAAAAAAAAAAATTTCGTAAACGTTTTTTTTTTTTTTTTGAAAAAAGAAGGGCGTAAAAAGGAAAAAAAAAAAAAAAAAAAAAAAACGTTTCTCGGGGTACAAGATCTAAATATTTGATTATTTTTTTTTAATAATTTCCCTCGCTCAGTTGATTATTTCAAGTAAAACGACTTTTAAATTCTGAGATATTTGTGATTATCTGTTGTTTAAACAGGACTAGAAAAAGATGAAGATTATAAAACAGAAGACCAGATCAGCGGCTGCTATAAAATCCTCAGTGGTACCTCACCATCTCATCCTATTCTGATTGAACACTTCTGTTTAATGACACCCGGAAATGAGTGGGATATGGAGATAAAATGTCGCCCCATATCGTATGGAGCCCAAGGTGTTTCCAATCAGAGAAGCAACTGGAGAAGCCTGATGGTGGTCTACCCCGAAGCTGGAGTGCAATTAAAACACAATGACATTGAAGTCACTCTGCCATCCCTGCAGGAGGACGAAGAGATCACTGCGTTCGGAAGACCAGGAAAAGATGACAAGAAAAGAATGCAAATGGCGATCTTTGCTAAACAACCAAAACAAGGAAGAGACTGGCAGATTTGGGTTTATCTTGTAGATGATACAAGTCCAGCCTGTGAGGTATAGGGTGCTATTATGTTTGTTTATTTTGTTTTGTTTGTTTGTTTGTTTGTTTGTTTAAAATGTTACCACCATTATTTCTTTACTATAATTTTATTTATTTTTATTATTTTTACTTTAATTTTATTATTTTATTATTATTATTAATGTTATTATTATTATTATTATTATTATTATTATTATTAATTATTATTATTATTTGTATCATGAGTTTATTGCCTTAGCCAGCCAGCCATTGATCACCCCCACCCCCGCTCTAGATATTAGCCTCTCTTCAGGAAAGCAAAGACGCTAGAGAGCATTATTACCACCAACCCTTGAAATGCAAAACGATAATGTCCAATTAAAAGCACAATTTCTTAATTTAAGTTGTTTCCACACACTGATACGAAAACTGATTTCTACATGTTATTTCTCTTTCTCGTGTAAACAGAAAATGTTTGAGGATGAAGACGACAGAGGAAACAGACTACTGACACCACTTGCTGGGATATTTGTGTCTAAAAGCAATAAAGACATCACAATTGAACTCAGTAACCTGGAGCCTGGATTGAAAATCAGAGGAAGCAATGTAAAGGTGCGAATAGTGAACTTGGTTGTTAACAGTTTGGCCTCCTTAATGATATAGTATTGATTAAAATCCACCTGGCGTTTTATCCGTGACAGATTTGGATAAGTTGGTAGGGCTGTCAGAGTCTCTAGAGCGAGAGAATTCGGGCCCGATTCTCAAGACAATACCACTACTTAGGGTTTCTTTGTTGTTGATGTTGTTGTTTGTTTGTCGAAATAGGATGCTGCCCTTTCCAAGGCGAGGGTTCCGTGTACTTTGGATGTCACATACAAAAAAAGCGAAAAACCCAGTGCCCTAAGTTACATGTAGCTGTTTGGTGATGATATGGATCAACACTTAATCAAAGCGAGAATTTCATCAGTGAAAATAATCGGCCCTGCCTCTCGAGGCTATGGAGGTCTGAGTTCTAAAGTAATGAAAACTGGGCTTGGCTTTGACCGCTACCTATTCCTCATGTTGCTTATATTTTAGTGATTAATCAATAATTAAAAAACAAAAGATTAACTTAGCTTGATCACTTGAATTGCTTTGATTTTGGTTTTGTTTTTAATGATTTGCATTTTAATTTTCTCTTTAGACAATCAAATCAACTCACGCATGGAATTCGTCAGGAAACTCTGTAGATTTTCCACGTTGCTATTTCGAAATAAGTCACGTTAATAGTACCAAGCATTCATTCTTCTGTGGAATAGAAGCTTCTCACGAAGGAGACAGTGCACAAGCAGAAGTTGTGGCGTATTTTGAACGAGTAAGTGTTGACAGAAAAAAATACTGCTGTATCACATAATTAATCTCTCTTAATTTATGATCATATTTTTTTCATATTTATTTTTTAGCAAAGTGGTCAGAAAATCGTCCAACCCTCTAACAATTCTCGCAAACTGAGTAATACGTGCAACTTTGTTTCAAAAGGTAAGCTTCGATTAGACCGTATGAAAAAAAAAAAATGTATCGTCACTTTGAAGTACGATGCAATTCAGAGACCAGTAGCAAAACTTAGGCCTCTGCTTAATGCATAGCTCGTTTACCCTGCATAATGAATTTCTTTCTTTCTTTCTTTCTTTCTTTCTTGTTTTTCTTACAGAAACTAACACCAGGTTTCCATTGCATGAAGTTTTCACTCTGCTTTGTGCACTTTTTGCTTCGGGCTTCAATACCACACACGTTACAGGTAAGCTTGCTTTATAAATTTCAGTATAAGTTTCGTTTGCTGACGTTGTTTGCATGTTTTTGGAAAGATAATGACAGTAGTGTAAGTAAACTTTTCAAAAACTTGAAAATCGTTGACATACGTAAAGTAAATAAGCATCAAATCTAGTATATAACTGCAAATAGGTTTCCTTTCATTTTACTTACAGCAAGCAGAATAATCTAACAATATTTGTTTTAAATCTTAACAGGATCAAATTCAACTTATCAGCAATTTACGACAAAGAAAAATTTACAAGATCTTACCAATTCCAAGCCGCCTGACAACTTCCCTTCCACTGGAATGCCTCGTTCCGGGGCGCTGGTAAAGCGCAGGAAAGCAGGATTTGCCAGCTGTGTTTCAACTGTCCAACAAGACCACGCGCACTGTGCAACTGCAAGAAAGCCGACCGCCTCGGAACGAGCAAATACAATACAAATATTCCAAAAACAACGTTCACAAGAAGTCTACTAGAAGAGTAAACAAGAAACAAGAAAAAAAGCCGATCAGAAAAGAAAGAAAGAGAAATAATCATGATCAATTGAGGTCAATGAAACATAGCTTAAGTATTCATTGTTCAACTAAGCTACAAGTTATAGCAACCAAAGTATAAACTGGTTATTCTCACAATTTTGTCACTAAACTACAAGTACCAACATTCATTCATTGACTCGCTGAGATTTATTTATTTTTTGATTTTATTTTTTTCTGACCGCTTACTATGTTGTTTGTTGTTAAGCGAAATTTAGCTGATACGCTGATGATCTGGCCCTATTGCGTTGATCAACATTCAACATGTTTCGTGGTTAGTTCCAACATTCAATGATTACGAATTCAAGTCAAAATTTCCTAATTAGCTAGAGGTAACAATCATTTTGATAACCACACTGAAATGTGTTACTTTTAATTTCAAAACTTTTTGTTAATGACGCCTTTAATGGTAAAGATTGAAAGCACAAAAAAATTCAAGTCATACCATAGTCCACAGTGGGCAAATAAAACCTAAAATTTTAGAGAACAAGTGACTTTGTTTTTGTTGTTACCAATATGTACATACCGTAATGCATTCGTTAATACGCAACGGCACATTTTTGTTCTTGCGTTTGTTTTGTGTTGCTTTTTTCATTGATGACGTCACAGTATCTGATCCCGAGAGGATACACCACAGGAAACAGCTGTTCGACCAGAAAAATCTGTCACTGAGTTTTTCTATGAATGCGTGTGTTCATCTCACTTTTTTCTAAAACAGTGACTTTTTAGTCAGATTTCAGATAGCATAATCCCCCAAAAGAAGTCACTTTTTTAACCTACAGGACAGCGGCTTTCGATTAAAAACAGGTTAAAACACCATATAAAAATAGAATTTGGTACCCGTTTTAAACGAAGTTCTCAAATACCATTAAAACAGTTTTAAAAATATATCAAAAATATGTTAAAAATAGTGTTTGGTTTGGTACGAGTCGGCCGCCATGTAAATGTCGAGTAACTCAAAAGCTTAGAAATTCAAGCCTACTATATCACAAAACGAGGAGACCTTTTGAAGTGAAAATTTGTCTGCCTACTAGTTTTTAGCTGCTTCAATACTTCATAAGGGTAAGAACTCAGAAGGATCGATAATTCCCCAGCTGGATTTCTTGATGACGTCATGAGAAAACTAACTATATTATGTTTTCATTATGTTTCTATTGGTCAGTAAGTTCAAAATGATAGGAATGCTATTGAACGTTGTGCACGGTCAGGTCCAATAAAGCTAACAAAAACACATAACAAAGGAGTCTTACGGGTTTCATAACCTTTCCAATTTAATAACTATGAAATCGCAACGAAAACGTTTTGATAGAATGCACCTCCACTTAAAGGAGAGGGTTTGCATGATTTTTTTATAATCATTATTTAAAAATGGCTTCGTGCCCTAAAAAGGTACCGGAAATTTAATGTTAGAAGAACTTTTTTTTTTTCTTGTCAAAGGATTTCTGTTAATTGCCCCTTCAGTGCAAAAGCTTTTCACATACCGATTGTTTCAAGTTTGGATGTATACAAGTTTTTGTGGAAATACACCCTTGAAGACCGCCAACGATCGCATTGTGCATGCCTCGTGGATACAATCGCAATTTTGGATCACAAACAGTGCAAACCATTTATTGGGCTTCTATAACCCTGATAAAGTTACATACCAACAGATATTTTGATAATTCTTGCACATTGAAAATTATATATTTGCACAAAAGTTATATATAAATAAGTAAATAAATAAATAAATGAATAGCAAGCGATGCAAAATAAATTCCCACAATTGATCAAAATATTAAATTAACCCAACCGGCCAAAGTCTGCTTAATCTCCTGCTCACTGCTTAACTGATCATATCTTCTGAATCAGATGATATGTAGATTCCCGTTTACACACGCAACAACAGCTGATTTTCGATTGGATGAGAAATTCACTGTTGTTAACAGTAAACATGCCTAATCCTCCGTTAGTTTTGACATTTTGGGCAGTGGCTACTCTCTCGTGGAGCCCATATGCACTGAGCAAGTTTTTCAAAACTTCTTTACAGCGTGAATTTAGCAACATTAACACTTACACCAGCAAACTTTCCTTGGATTTGAAAAGATTTAAGCGTCGATCCACGTTTATCAATAACTTAAATCAGGGGCACCCAACGACGGTTTCCTCCGAAATACGTTCCTCCAAAATTTATTATAAGCCACGCTATAACATTTGTATCTGTTCTGTCATCCTAGGGGAACTTGAGGCTTTTCGACATTACAAGGGCTTAATCTGTGTTATTTTACCGAAAATTTTAGATGCAATTAAACGTTTTACGAAAGTGAGAATTTTTCTTATTCCTCTCTCCATCACATTTTTGAATCCGAAAATTTTAGGTTTGCTTTTTCTACGAAAATTAGCCTAACATCAGGAGTAAAATATGAAAAAATTAACTTCAGAAAATGGTAGGGAATTTCTTAGATAAGCTTAGCTAAGTGGAACGCTCATCTAGAAATATTTAGCCGTATTCAAGCAATAGAAAATTCTAGGCAACATTTGCTTCTCCGAACAGATATTTTACAGAAAACAGTCTCTGGGTGCCCCTGTTAAATCACAGCTTCGTCAGCAAGAGAATAAGCGCCTTTTGCGCTGCGTCTCTGCAAAGTGCTTGCCCGGTTTGCACGTGTCAGAAATGTGTTTATTCGTATTTGGACAAATGTCTCAAGGTAACCACAGCCAGTTATGAGTTGTCGAGTGATGGAGGGTTGTGAGGATAGTAACACTTTCCAGTTTGTGTTGGAGTTCAGGTCCTATAGATGTACCTAAAACTGGTCCCTTCAGGGTTTCCTGAGCAATGGTTTTGGCACACTTATGACCGCAAATCTGCCGCATGTGCTTGATAGGGCTACCTCGGTGACCTTAAGAAGAATAAAAAACTATTTTCAGTCATAATTAACTTGTAGATGGCAAGCTGTTTTGTCTTGTAATAGGATTCTGTTTAAAAACTACGAAGCTCTCAGAGACCTCTAATTTCATTGACCTCGGTCACGTCGACACACCTGCGTGCTATAAATCTTTTTAGCCAAATCTTTTTGGTCATTTATCTACTGTTTTTAGTTAGCCAAGTAAACATGTGTTTTTTTAAGCCTCGTGGCACCCCTAATGGGATTAGATTTATGTCATTATGATGGAGTATTTGACATTTCCACTCTCCGCAACGCTCTACGAGTCAGATATTAATGGATGTTAAACTGGTTATTGTCGTTGCCTTCAGAGATAAAACTAATAGGTCACCCATGCAGTTCCAAGAACTTTGGCCAAATAGCCCTCTCTTAAACTTCCTTCCAGCCTTTATACTCTTTAGTAAGGTTGGTATAGACGCCTTTTTGCTGTAAACCAAGAGCTGATAGGTGTACTAACTACAGAGTAGGAAGGGCTGCCGTGGGTTAGGTGATGATCGACCAGTTTTCAGTTTTACAGTAGGTGCTGCTCTTTGGTGTCGCAGAAATTGTTGTTGTTTAGGGACTGGTCAAAAAGTATAGGGGGGGGGGGGTGGGCCGGAGAAGAGAGGGGGTGGGTCATGAGGTTTTGAGCCTTGTGCAAGGGGTGGGTCGTGTAATTTTCAGCTACCCTTAGGGGGTGGGTCACCCTATTTTTTACTAACTACTAACGAGACAGTTGACTACTCTTGTTATATAAAACACAGCCAGCTGGGATTATTGCTAAAATACTCACAAACCTGTTGTGCGAGAAAATACAAAGGTTGACAGGCCGCACATCTATACGGGCGTGGAACCCTCTGTCAACCTTTTTTTTTTTCGGCTCTAACGAGCATGTCCTTTAACGATTTTCCTTTTTGTAAGGAAATGATTGGTGGTTCTTTTAAAATTTATTGAAGTTATAGTTGGTTTTGTATGAGATTCCATTTTTTCATTCAAGCTTCCTTAATGTATAGTAGACACTGAGGGCTGGTATTGTGTCACGAATGGCAATATTTCTTTTTCCTTTTTGTTGTTTTGTTTTAGGAGTTTAGACTCCCTTTTGTGAATTTTATTTCTAATAGTAGGTTTTCTATCAAAGATAGGGGGTACCCAACGAGAATGTAGTTCAAAACCACTTAAACATAGCATTGTTAAACGTATTTTAGTATTTAAAGAGTAGATATAGGCATATTTTTATCCCCTAAAAATGTTTCATCTGTTCGGATCTCCTAGCTGAAAGTCTAGTGATACGAAAATTATAGGGATCAAAATTTACCTTTTCGAAAACTTCAGCCACAAAAAAGGCTCCCGAAAATTCTAGGTGACCTTAGGGTAAAAATCCGTTTAAAATGGGCAATTATACCATTTTTTTAGATGTTCGAAAATCCTAGGAGGGGCAGACAAGCAAGAAATTTTACAACAAATGTTCCGAAAATTCTAGATCTCAAATCTTCTTGTCAAGCTTTTTTTCTAAAATTTGAATTACTTTCCTCAAAGGTTGTTTCTGAGGAGTTTTTTCGTAGGATTCTTAAGGCTTCTCCTTTGACAAATTCTTTTTTAACATTTGGAGGGTGACACGAGGTGAAATGTGTGTGCAAGAAGCTTTCCGTTTGTTGAAAATGTGTCTTTGCATCAAGGATAGATTTTTCCTTGAATCTTGTGCCTTTGTATACAACCGTGTCTAAAAACGCAGTCTCAGTGTCAAATATTTCGGCCGTGAATTTGGAGAGGAAAGTAATCATGTGACAGTAAATAGAAAAGATCAGTTTACTCAAATGATAGTATCTCTTTCTTTACAGGCTTCCACTCAAATGAAAATGAACAATTAGACTGCAAAACAGTCGGGTTTTTTTTCTCAAAATCAGTAAAGAAATCGGTAAAGCGTGGCGTAAGAGACTTACGTCCACAGGGCGTGTGAGGCGAGAAAAAAAAAACTATTTTCAGCGTCTCTCCCAGTCTCTCTCGCTCTGTTTTCAGCCTCGTTCCAGACTTTCTGTTCGACTG